AGTAAAACCTTTTAAAACTGTAAATAACATATTCCTCTTGCCATCAAGTTGATTTTGAGTCATATAATTAGAAACAAAAAATACTATTATTCTTACTTCTCGAGCACATTTAAGTTATTGTTAAGCAACAAGGACGTGTTCTCAATTTTATGCATTTTTATCTTTAAGTCAGATACTGTGAATTCACAAGTCTGTAAAATACTATGTTGTCATGTGCTTTTCTTTGAGAAAGACTTGAATATTTTGAGCGTGACTTTTCTATGTAAATTATTTCTTTTCAAACATTTTAGATATTCAAGACGATGAAGTGGCTGAAAGTGTTTATAGAGATAGGAAGCGGCGCTTGCCTTTGGAACTCACAGTGGAACTCACGGAAGAGACATTTAGCAGGACAGTCATGGCTTCTGACAGCATCGTGCTCTTCTATGCCAGTTGTGAGTATGAGAATTTAGAAGAGACTCAATGTTAACATACCAGGACAGTCAAAGTACACACATTATCTTGCATGGTCAAATTATACAATGATATCTTTCACATGTCTTAGGTAGGTTGCACAAGGTAAAGCATTTACTGACTTATTATATCTGTTTTATTATCTACTTCAGACCATCTATTATATATCTCTAATTTGCAACTTGAAAGTTGATGTTTAGTTAAGTAATACTGTAATTCAAAAATAATGAAATTCAATCTAATACTAATTTACTACCTGTTCTGGTTAATTTATAGAAAGTATATTGCTTTTTATGAAGCATTAGTGACTCAATGGTAGAATTCGCACCTTCCATCTGGAAGACCTTGTCTTGATTTCTAGGTGATGTGTGTCAGTGGAGGCTTGTATGTTGCTATGATGCTGAGCAACTTCCAGTGGCACTGGCAGAGGAAGACGGATTAGTGAGGAAGACTTGGTAAACTACTTCCAAAAGTCAAGTGAATACAGACCCTTTGGATGAAAACATGTCATGTTGCAAATATGTCTGCTTTGTAGCTGGTAGTGGGCTGATTTAGGATTAAGCATTTTTTAATGTTATTGTGTGTAGCGTCACCATGAGGCAGCGACCATCTCAGTGGCAGCTAACAACAGCAGTAGCCACATATTTCTTTTATCTTTTAATAATAGTTATTCAGCAATTGTTTTTACAGTATGAATTAGAACATTGATGTCATTTGAGCCATCTGTAAGTCTACGGATAAATGTTAAGTGGTATGTGCTAGAATGTTTCTTTCTAAGAAATTAAATATTTGGAAAACCTCCTAAGTTTATATTTTTGTTAGATAGTAGTGTGAATGTTTCAGAGATATTTATGTTATATTATCTGCTAATTTTTTAAAAAAAATTCCATATAGGGGAAGCAGTGTCCATGGCATTTCTACAGTCATATGTTGAGGTAGCAGTTCAATTGAAAGGTACGTGTGCATAGTTATTTTACTGATTCTGAGATGTAGCTATTTGTAAAATGCTGTATAGTGCTAAGGATCTAGAAAGCACATAACACTTTAGGTTATTATGATTATCTCCAAGGTAAATTAAATGAACTTACAGAGTCTCAAAAATACTCAAAAGCATTCACTTGTCTTCCTTGAACTCAGAGTTGTTGAAAATAAAGAATCCATATATTGGTCTACAGAATTCATCTAAAAAATAGTCTTTGGGGCTGAATCCATTTACTTTGTGAGCGTTTATTGAGCACTAGTTGAGCTGCTGGAGATGAAAGGAGAGGCAAGACCTAGTATTCTTTCTTTTTTAAAAAAAATTTATAATTTATCAAGAATTCATGAGGGTGGGAGGGGGG